TCTATAAATGCCTTCCAGCAACTTTCACTGTCAGCTCAATGCATAGAGCAAGTGATTGTCACTAGAGAGCTCAGGGTATAGTCCACAACTGGTAGATGAGACCTTCCAGCCAACTGAATCAGAAGACAGAGTGGCAAGGTTTAAACGGATACCCAGACGAAGCAGAGCCCGCTGTGGTGGGGGTGAGCAATGTAACACTTGTGAAACTGCACTGAGGGGGAATTCCAGGGCCATGTCTAGGACACCTTCTTGTCCCATGATCACAACAGGCCTATACCAAGAGGTCAGTGCACCCTGCCCCTCACAGCTGAGGCCTTTAGCACAGGGGAACCATTTTCTTTGGAGGCATTTGTTCACCTAAAACTTCTTAGACCTAAAACAAAATGAGCATGGATTCCAAACGCTGTTTTGGTTTTTAGACTCATCAACTTGTTAGAATCTGTACCATTCCATAGATGTTTTCCCTACAGGCCTGTTTGTTGTTTGTTTGCTTGCTTGTTTGTTTTTCCGTATTTAAAACCCTCCTGACTACTTAAATCTTTATGGGTTCCATGGGTTAGATCTAATCCACCATCTTCAGTTGGCTCCTCAGAGTAGAGATTCAATGTTCTAAAATACTTTCTATTTCCTGCTCTATCTTTCTCAAATGTTTGTTAAGGAGTAGGGGAACAGAGTGGGGGCAGGGTGGATGACTTTCTGAAAGACGCTTTACAAAGACTTAGGCAATCAACTTAGACCTAAAAGAAAAATTATGACTTGAGCCCAGCATGTCATAACAGTGCAGATTTTCCTTCATTTGGTTTATTGCAGCCTCACCCCTCACAGAGGAGTCTCATAAATGTCTTTAGAGCTGAGGAAATTGCCAGATATTACTCGGCACCCCACTGAGAACTCTCCTATTTTTTTTTTAATTCCTTGAATTTCTTTTTTATTTTTAACCCTTAATTTTTAATTGTTCTTCACGTCTCAAAAACATCCGGTTGCCAAGAATAGTCACCCAACATGCTCTTCCTTTGTGTCAGAACCCCTGAGGCCATATATCACCCTACAGCAGGGGTTCTCAGCCTTCCTAACACTGTGACCCTTTGATACAGTTCCTCCTGTTGTGGTGGTGACCCCCAACCATAAAATTATTTTCGTCACTACTTCATAACTGTAATTTTGCTACTGTTACGGATCATAATGTAAATATCTGTTTTCTGATGGTCTTAAGTGAGACTCCCAAAGGGTTCACAACCCACAGGTTGAGAACTACTACTCTAGACAGAGAGGAAGACTGCATCAGCCAGAGAAGGGGCGCAGCCCTCGTCCACCTGGGAAATATCCTGCATCAGGGAACAACCTGACGGCTGCAGGCAGGCTCCATGAAGATGGGGGCGTGGGAGAGGGTTTCTAGGTGCTCAGAGTGGTTAGCATCTGAATCTTTTAGAGTGGGCTCGTGTATGTGTGTACACACTATGTCCAAAATCAACGAAAGCAAGATGTCAGAGTGGGAGGAACCATGGTCATAGAAACAGGGGTCCAGACTCCAATTCTAACTTCATCTCACCAGCGCTTCGGTTAGCAAATGGGTACACCAATATATATCAGAGGTTTAAAACCCTGATTGTTAGCATAAACAGGGCTGTGGTGTAGCCCAGGGACTTCGGAAGAGGCACCTTCCCATGGATTTCTACCATCTTTAAAGTAATTGGATTAATGAAAATGATTCATTTAGAAGCTCAACTGGATTTGTAGTTACATCCACTCGTTATGCTTTTTTCAATAAGTTCTTTCTGAAAGTATGTTAACAGTGGATTCTCCGGGTCAAAAAAACAAAATGTCACCAGTGTAGCTGCTTTCTGACAATCTGTGACACGTCCAGGCACTTGGCAGCAGATCTTTCTCCAGTTACCTCAGATACGGAAACACAGGATGAGCAGACACTCACTGTTGGGGGAGATGGCTGTGAACCATCCAGTTCACTCAGAGCTGCTCTTCCTAGCGTTCTCTTAGAGGAGAATTCACAGTTACTGACCACACAGAGCCCTGCGAATGAAGAGCTGTCCAGCTCTGACCTCTCCCTCTTTAGAATTCATCATCATTGGTACATCTCGTACAGGTGGGATGGTCCCTTCTAGGGAAGGCTGTCAAAGAAGGACATCCAGTGTCCCCAGTGAGGGCAGCCAAGGTCAGAAAATGCTTGGCCAACCACAGCCTCCACATCCTTCTGCAAGAGATGACAGTTTTAGGGAGTTGTGACGGTGTTAGTTTCTTCTTTTTCCTTTTTTTTTTTAAATTTGTTTATTTTTATTTAAGTGCACATTTGTGCATGAGTTTTTGTGCACCATATACATGCTGGCGGCTGGAGAGGCCACAGAACTGCGGCTCCCCTGAAACTGGAGCTACTGGCAGTTATAAGCTAACTGATTTAGGTGCTAGAAATCAAAGTTGGGTCTCCTTTGAGAGCAGTAACACTATTGACTGCTCAGCCATTTCTCTAGCCTGAGTACTAGCCTTTTTACCTTTAAAATGACTGAGAGATCCGGTGAGAAGGCTTAGTGGACATAGAGCATCCACTGGACAAGTGCGATGACCTGAATTTGACCTGCCAGCACCCGCATGAGGCTGGCTGTGTAGCACAGCGCTGTAATTCCAGCTCGCTTAGAGTGAGATGGGAGATGGAAACAAGACAATCCCCAGAAGCTGACAGACCACCTGGCCTGGCATGCGCAGCAGCAACCAGCAAGAGACTTCATCCCAAGGTGGACACCCTGGGGCTGGAGAGATGGCTCAGTGGTTAAGAGCACCAGCTGCTCTTCCAAAGGTCCTGAGTTCAATTCCCAGCAACCACATGGTGGCTCACAACCATCTAGAGTGAGATCTGGTGCCCTCTTCTGCCCTGGTGGCTCACATGCAGATGGAAAACTCTATAAACAATAAATAAATAAATCTTAAAAGAAGGGGGGGGGGGGCTGGAGAGATGGCTCAACAGTTAAGGGCACTGACTGCTCTTTCAAAAGACCCAAGTTCAATTGCAGCACCTGCATGGCAGTTCACAACTGTTTGTAACTCCAAGATCTGACACCCTCACACAGACATACATGCAGGCAAAACACCAATGCACATAAAATAAAAATAACTTCTTTTAAAAAAAGAACTGACACCCCAGGTTATTGGCTTCTGCCAGTATACACATGGCTACACTAGGGCACACAAATATGCAAACATAGACTCAGATACAAGCACATGCAATGACAATTAGGAAACAGTATCTTGACACCAAGGTGACTAAACAAATTCCTTTCTTCAGACTGAAGCTTCGTATCCACTCTGAAAGGATACAACCATTCCCAAATTCAACCCAACATCATTTTTATGAGAAGAACAAAAACAAAAACACAAGTCTCCTAGAAATGGAGAGAAACACTGTCCCTCGGCTTCCTTACTGGGAAAATGAGGATATTAACAGTGCCTATATGACAGGGTTCTGAGGAGTAAATGTTTTATTTGTGTAAGCTACTGTTACCGTGTCTTGTACAGAGTAATACCTCATTAACTCATGATAAATGCTGATGTGATTTGTCAGGGTATTAATCCAAGGGCAGGATATGAAATAATATCGAAAGGGAAGGAAATTATATGAACCCTCTGCCCATATTCTGTGTGTCAGGCTGCTTACAAATAATACTTTTATCCATTGACCTCTCTGAGGACCATGATAGATCTATACTCCCTCCATCAATTTTGAACCAGATATGACCTATCAGACTTGCTTTGGACAACAGAGCATAGGCAGAAGTGGCACAAGTGAAGCTGAGATGGGAGTTTCGGAGGCAGGGTACAATGGGATTTGTTCCCTTGCCGTGCGTGACTGCAGTTACTACCAGGACATGGAAACTCTACCAGCTGGGTCCTGCATGTGGCAAGCCCGAGCCTTAGTCCACAGTTGATATACCGTCAGAAATCAGTTATCGCTCATCCCCATCATTTGAGAGTTGTTACTCAGCAGCAACCTGATAAAACCACATTTGCACACATTGCTGATGCTTCCATTGTCGTTAATGCCATCCTGGACACTTGTTAGTGTGTAGTTATAGACGGAGGTTTCTAAAACAACAAATTTGAGTCCATTTGCAAGAAACCTGTTTGGTCTTACAGAGATAAATTCAGTTGGCACCCTTGACCAAGTTTCTAAAAACTTTTTTTTTTTAATACATAGAAAGGGTTGTAGTGAAATGGCTCGCTTCATAGTGTCTGATGTGCAAGCATGAGGACCTGAGTTCAAATCCCCAGCAGGTAGACAGAGGCACATCACCAGATCCTGCCTGCTAATGACCCTAGACGACCCGTGAGCACTCGGTTCCGTGAGAGACCATATGGAAAAATAAGGTAGCCTCCACGCGGTCGACACGCGGCTACGCACACTCACACACATGTATGCATGCACTACATACTCAGACGCCACGTAAGCAGGCAAAACCAAGAGCTGTGCACTCAGATGTATGAGGAGGAGGAAACCTTCTGAAAATGGAACACCAAGTTGGTGGTTTTTGCTAACTCAAAGTTTACCTTCAAGTTAGGATTTCCAAAGTTCGTTCGTTCCTTTCTTCCTTCTTCCTCAATGTTTCTTATATCTTACCCAGATTAGTTTAGACAGAAAGCCCAGACACTACACCATTTTAAGTCCTTAATGAGCCCCCTCCAGAAACAAGCCAACAAAACCAAAAAACCCAACCCATGTGCTTAGGATTACCTCATCTTTGTTGGTGAAAGAAAAATGAAAGTTTTCTGCTAGATAAATATTACAAATAATTAACCAACTTTTTCTCCCTGGGGAAGAAGGTGCTCCCTATTCAGATGGTTACCAGTTTGTGTGTCCATGTTTTTAAAGATTTTGCTCTGCCAAACAAGAGCAGAGCCAATGTCTGCATCCATTTCACAAACCATCCAAGCAAATATCAACACAGGAAAACCCTCACATTCAAAGGCCTGGTTGTTCCTCTTTGAACATCATTTACCTGCCCATGGTCTGTGACGGATTTCTCTCTCTGCCTCCAACTGTCTTTGTGTAGGACTTGAAAATAATATTCTCGGTCCCCACAGAGGGCAGCAGTAACTTTCCTGACAAGGCAGGACCTCACAGAAAGTGATCTCAGGCACTTGAGGGAAGGTCTCTGTGGCCAGGGTTGTGTGAGGACCTGCATCGAGCAGAAGGAGGGTCACGCAGAGGGGTGGCATGGTGCGGGAAACGGGCTGTGTTTATGAATGGGAACAGGAAGCCTGTACCTGGAGTGGGAGCTGTGGATGGCAGAGCTGGCTCCGGACCGCTTGTCACGTTGCTGGAAGAGTACAGATGGTTAGTGAAAGAGCCCTTCAAGAATACTTCTCTCAGGGCTGGAGTGACAGATAGCCCAGTTTCAGTTTCTAGTGTTTATGGCAGTGAATTTGGTCAGCCTGTAACTCCAACTCCAGGTGGTCCAATGCCCTCTTCTGGTCTCCTCAGGCACCCACATAACATGAATAAGAATAATTTTTTTTAAGTCCTTCTCTCAAAGGAATACAAGATCTGGATTCTTACCTCAGAGGGAGATTCGGGGCGCGCCGGTCTTGATCCTTCAGGCTAAGTATGTACAGGGCGACTATTGTCAAGGCACTGTTAAGGGGGAGAAGGCATTATGTGGCAGATCTGTGTCTGTATATATCTCACTCAAGCTCCAGCTGGCCAGAGATGTGCTCACAGGCCACACAGATGGGAAGAGGAGAGGGAGGCGGCTGTAGCTGGCAGAAGCACCATGGAAACCAGCACAGTTAGCTTTTTCTGCCTGGGAAAGAGAAAAGAGCCCTGGGCTCCCAGTAGTCTGGAGGCTCAGAGAGCACTCTATGCTGAAGGAACAGAACCCCCGCTCCGGCCAAGCTGTCACCAGAAACAACCGGTCAACAGCTGAGGCTCCTCCCTGCTCTCTGCAGGAAAGAGGAAGGCCAAAATTCGCTTCCTGCTGCTGGTTTTCATCCATGCTGTTGAGCTGGGGGATCAAAGGAGGAAGGGGTCGGCCATGGCCCTTAAACCTTTTGGTCACCTTTCAGAGTACAATGTATTGGCTTGGGGTAGAAAGGAAATGCAACAGAGCACCCACGTGATGCGACTCCAACATAAGGAAGGCGGCTTTCCTTTCACTAGCACGATTCATGCAGCAAAATTAAAGTGTTCCTTAAGCGTTCTAGGGCTTGGGATGTGGATCCCAGAAGTGCTTATACAGCGAGTTCTTAGACTCTCATGAGTCACCCCTAAGTCTCCTGGAAATGAGGTCTCCTGGCTTGCCTCCTTGCCTCACTTCACACCTTGCCTTCCAAACTCAACTCCTAGGTACTTTGTTCTCCCATGAAGGTGGCAGATTTACCATCACTGCCTAAAAACAGAGATGTGCTGCAGATGAATTCCAGTCACAAGCAGGGAATTCCTTACACGTTCCCAGCGACAGCTGGTGGCTACCTGTCAGGCTCAGCCCCTTCTGGAAAAGTGGTACTAAGTCTAAAGATGTGTCAGACAGAGCCTGTAGTGTCACCCTGGCAACCGCTCACTGTGGTCCAGCGTCCCTTGCTTTGCACTTGCCTGTGTCTCTCACTCTCTGACTCTCCCACAATTAATTTTTAAATCCCCCCCCCCCATTTGTGTTTGACATGTGGCTCAGCGCACAGGTTGGAGGTGCCTTCTGGTGCCTTTGAATGAAATGGACAAATGCTCTTCTCACAGGCAAACCCTGGTTTTGACCCTTCTCAGGTACAACAGAGACCAGGACCAAGACATGAAGAAACCTATTACCTCCCATTTGTGGTCCTAATGGTCAACAGTGCACTAGGAAGATCTGATAAGCAGGCTTTAAGTTCAGTGTCTTCACTCAGAACTAGACTGCCTATCACCTCCTCCCAGTGCCTGGGCTGATAACTCTGGAGCATATGAGGTGTGTCTGCTAAAAGTACATGATGCTCACCCTCTCCTTGGCTGGGGGACCTAGCAAAAGGCAAACACTTAGAAGAATGAGGGGAAAAAATGCAAAAGCTCCTGATGAAAATGTTGGGTCATACATCAACCACCCGGGGCATCTTCCCAGAACGGGCATGAGCTGAGTTAGACTAAGTGTAGTCAATGATAGCACATGTATATAGCATGCTTAGAGCCCACGATTCAGCCCTGGGGCCAAATCAGTTGCTCACCATCTAAATTTAAAGTGAAAATCTGAGAGGAGAAGGGTGGAGAGCTGTGACCTGAAGCTAGGAAGCACCCTGGCCAGCCACTTCATTTGCTTTGCCTCCAGAACAACTGTCTGCCCTCCACTCAAGGTCCAGACTCCACTCTTTTCCCAAACTCACAAAGCATCGCTTTTCTTTCACTATGTTAGAGCATCAACAAGGAAGGACTTGTTCCCAGGCCCAAAGGAGACAAGCAAGGCGACCAGAGTGGAGGGAGGCGCCCTAGTGGTCTCGAGATCCTAGAGAGGGAGGCCTGAGAAAGTAGCTTCACTCTGCTCCCAGCTCCACTTTCTCTCCCCCTCCCCCACTCCCACCTCCACTCTCTCCCCTACCCCACCTTCACAACCACTCCCACTCCTTCCTCTACTCACTGTTCCACTTCTGCATCCACTCTCTCCCTGATTCTCACCCCTACAACCACCTCCACAGTTCCATACACATACATGCATGCGTGCGCGCACGCACGCACACACACACACACACACACACACACACACACATGCCATAACCTGCTGCTACATCACAACTGATTGGAAAAAAAATCATCATCTATCTCACATCAAAGTACATAAACCCAGCTGTCCTTTCAAGATAAGGATTTCACAGGGGTTCCCTTGTCTGTAAGCTACCAAAGGTTATGCCTGGTTTAAAAAGCTCCTTGTCTTCAAAGCAAAGAGGTCAGTCCCCAGTTCATATGTGAAAAGGAAAGGCAGACAAGAGAGAGAGAAAAAAAAAAGATCTTGATAGCAGACCACTGAAGTTTTTCTTACCAAAATGTCATCACAGCAATCAGCGCTATAACCAATGTCTGGAAAACCCAGTTAGGACACAATGGTTTCCTTCCTGACAAAGAGACCTGTGGAAACATTGAACAGGGACAGATCAGCACAGGGGCTGTGAGACCTCAAGACCTCCGCCCACAGGAATCTTTCTTTTACACCTGGCCTTCTGCTCTTGCCTCTCTGACCACAACAATCTCACACAAAGCCTCCCTCTGCTCAGTGCCACAGGCGACAGTGGCCGGTCCTCTCCCTGGTGTCCGAGAGACAGTTGTATATGCTAGTCCAGTTCTGTATGAAAGAAGGCAGCCTAGAAGACAGGACATCACAAAGTCTGACTGGCACCCTTCCTCTACCTCGTTGTAGTGTTCTGGGGATGTCTGACTGCTGCCCTACAGAGGAAGGGCTCAGTGGAATTTGTTGAATTGATTGGAATTAATATTACTATTCATAGAAAAAGGGATTCCCGCACCCAACCGCTCTCTACAGCTGCCGGGTTATTTTAAATCACCGTGATTTTGCTCACAGGCCTTTGACCATATACTGAAAAATGACTGAGTTAAGTCCTGTACAGATCTTTTATGTATCATTGATTCTCATCTTTCTTACCATTAACATAGGAATTAAAATACATTAAAATTAAAATCTTTTAAATTATATTAAATATATTTTAAATTTAAATTAAACATATATATTAAAATAATACATACCCACATGCTCCTCTGAGTTATTAGGATAGTCCGCTTAACAATGTAACAATTCTCCAATTTGGAAATGCCAATGGATTACTATGGAGCCTGTCAAAGATCTCACTGCCCTGGCAGATTCTACCTCAACAGGTTTTATTTGAAGTGAGATGTATGTATCCATTCTCCTTCCCTTCTGCTTGTTCTGAATTCTGACTTGAACTGTCAGGGCTTCCCATCTCACCTCCTCCTGTATGTAGCGGCTGCCTAACCTTTCGGAGCTAGAGAAAGAGAGGAAAGGAAGGGCACTCCTACTGATTGCATTGGTACTCCATGGAGGCGCCTCAACTCCTCCAGCACTGAGGGCTGTGCGCTCCCAGCCATGCCTTCTTACTATTAACTATTTGTAGTAGCGTGATGATCGTTAGACTCCCCACCCGGCCTAGGAGCACCGTTTCCCACCCATGTCCATGTATTTCACCTAATGACCCAAGGAAACCTCTAGGAGCCAAGGTCACCCAGAGAGTTGGTAGTGACAGGCAAGGGAAGGTCAACTTCACGGAAACAGAGAGCGCTGTCAAGACAACAGAAGGCTGATGGAAGCATCATTACTTGCACTTTATAGAGCTCCCTACATCATTTCTGCATGAGCCCCACGAAGATAGTGGGGTTGAAACAATAACCAGCATGGGCGTGTACCCAACGCCGCTCCAGACACACCTCCAAGCGTTTCACACACACTAATGTGTAGCATCCCCACGATCACCCTCAACAGGGCTTCGAGCAGGAAGCCTTAGCCATCCCCACTTAGAGACAGAAGAAGAAGTATAGGAGGGCCAAGTTCCTCGCCAGACACATACAGCTCAAAAGTCATGAGGCCAGAACGTGAGTTAAAACCTTCTGCTTTGCACTCTGTGTTTTTAAATACTGTGCTATGCCACCTACTTGTTCTGTATGTAAGAAAGGAGAAAATATGAAGCCACTTATGTGTTATGCAAAGGGTCTTTATGGCTTATCAACAAATACCTGTGTGTGTGTGTGTGTGTGTGTGTGTGTGTGTGTGTGTAGCATTTTCCTCTGCAACTGAAACATTTCATCCTGCAGGGAAAGCTCCTTAAGATAAGAAATAAAAATTCAAAACATCTTCAGGAAGTCCCTAAAACTGACCAGATTCATTAGGTCCCTCCCTCCCCGAAAGTATACAATCAGGAAAGACTACTAGGAGACATTCTCAAACAAGACAAAAAATTAAAAATAAAATGCTCAGACAAGCCCAGCCCCGTGAACGCAGCAGATGACGAAAGAAGACCGCCTGGGCAGCCTGGAAAAGGCTCAGGATAACAGAGCCGCCTGGCAAGGACTCCAACCTGTTGAGCTGCCTTGCAGGCTGTGCAGTGTGTTCCAGGTTCCGGTTTCCTGAGCTGTCAGGCCGGGGTGGGTTCGGGGATGCGGCTTTGAGTGTCTTTGAGTCATTTCTGCTCCCATAGGTAGCCTCACCCCCACTCCTGTGAACAGCCCCCCAAACACGAAGCTGAACTTGGGTGGCATCCGTACTTGGGTCTGTCATTGGTTCCTCATCTGAGGCGAGTAGATGTTTGTTCGTGTCTCCCCAGGAACAGCAATGCATATACGCATACATAGATGCTATATAAGTGTAAAGACGTCTGTGTGTGTGTTGGTGTTTCATGTGAAGGCTGTGGGGCTTCACTAGTCACAGCCACACAAACAATAACCTGTACGTTGTTTCTGAAGTGGTCTGGTCATGTTCTCGATTCTTTCTCTTTATTTTTACTTTTTTTTTTTTAAGTCATTAGTACCTGTGGAAGGATGCAAATGAGGGAAGCAGACCAGGGAAGGGGTGTTGATCCAGTTCTCTAATGTGTGTGTATGTGTGTGTGCGCACGTGCGTGTGCAAGTTAGAGAGTGTTACCTGTTACTGTGGCTTGAAAACAGGGTCACTCATGAGTGAGACAAGGGCCCACCGGTGAGCTACTCCCACAGCCAGCCAGTATTCTGTTTTTGAGAAAGGCTCGTACAAAGTTGCCCAGGCTAACCCTGAACTCATTCTATACCCCAGGCTCTAAAATGCAGGCATTGCACTTTCCATCTTTCTGCCTCGGCATCCCACCCTCCCCCAAGAAGCTAGGATACAGATCTAGACTTCGTATTGAATTTTGTATAGAGAATGCTCTGCTCATTTACATTTCAGTCCGTTTACCTTGGTGGGCTTTTTGGAAATGGCCCTTCTCGGTGAAGATGAACTCACAGCTCTGCTAAATTTGCTTTAAAGAGAGAGAGAGAGAATTGATTAGTATTCAAATGCCTCTCTAAGAGGTATATGACAATGGCTCAGGCTGTCTCAAACCCAGCAGTAGGACTTTCCTTTTGTAGTACAGTGATAATTTGAAAAAGGAAAAGTCAAAGCAATTGGAGTTCTTTTGTGAAAGAAAAAAGCTTTTAGTATGCATTAAGGAATTCATTAACAGTACTTTTGTGTTTTTTTTTTCTTAAATACATATATGCATACATATATGCCCTTAATTCCTTAAATAATAAAAACAAACAATAAAATGACTTCTCTCCCTGAGGACCAAATGTGATTTTTTTCATTTCAAATTTAGAAATGACCACCTCTCCTCCTTGAAATGGAAGACAGCCTTTTGCTAATATTTAGCACTTCCTCTAATGGCTGAGGCTCTTAAGCGGATGGCTCTCGTTCTGTTTTAAAAGCACCAACAGAAAAAGCAACAAAAACACCAGGAGGTGACCGTATCCTAAAATATTCCAAGGGAGGGCTAGAGACCTCAGCATCAGAGAGCGTAACTGTTGCTCCATGGGCGAGGCCAGGCGGGGCGGTCTCCCATGGGAGGAACCCACTCTCAACCTGCCCCAGAGTTCTGACGCTGAGCCTACCTGATGGTGCTGGCTTCGCTGACTGAGGACTTCCAGCTGCGGCTGAGGCATTTCAGCCTGGCCAGCTTCCGGTTCCACGTTTCCAACTCCTCTATTCTTTCTTCCAGGTTGTTGGTTAGTTTGCAGAGCTGCTTCACAGCCCCCACGTTCTCCATGAAGATCTGGTCCTAGAGAGGAGCATAGCACAAGCGGAAGAGCTGCAGTCTGAAGCCGCCGGCCGGGGACCCTACTGCGCGCTATCCAAAGACGGAAGATGCCCCAGTAAAGGGTTTTACACCCGCGACTTCAAGTTCACCCGGGAGAAATCGGAAGTGGTTCGAAACTCAGAACAGGCTACCCACACTGCCAGCGGTGCCGTAAACTGCTTCTGACCAATTTGCAATAAAATGGAAAATGTCCTTGTAACCAAGGTAAGGAGATGAAACTGAAGCCCTGTCAAGTTTGGAGTCCAGAGACATATTTTCTGTGACCATTGAGCTATGTTTAAAACCCGTAAAAACAAAGAACCGGCTTCCAAGGGCTGATCTGTGTGCTCGTTGCTAAATCCCCTTAAGAACTGACCGCAGCTGTCCCTGGTAAAAATGTGCACCAGACTGTTCAGATCATGAAGGAGGCATAGCCAAGTGTTGTAGTATCAATCTGTAATTACAACATCCAGAAGGCTGAGGCAGGAGGATCATGAGTTGTGAGTTCCAAGCCGTATCGAGACCATGTCTCCAAAATAAAATTTAAAACTAAAATAAAAGCAGCAACATCAGTCTAAAGATACCGGCTTCTCTGCCACCAGATGAAATACAATAAGCTCTTTAGATTTTATCTTTTTCGTTTATAAATAAGATAGCTCTTGAGATATCATTTCTTCTTTAACATCTCCTGAGTAATTGTGTGTAATTCAAATTTTAATCTGACTCTCAAACAGAATTTTTTAAACACATACTTAATCCCTTTTGTTCACTGAAAGTCACTAAATCATTGAAGAGACAAAGAAGAATATGACAACTATGTCCGTAGGCTGACAACTATGGACGACGGGGCTCCCCCAAAACCAGGATGCCCAGGCCACGGCCTGCCCCACCACAGGACTCCGGTGTACTATAAACATGTGTCTATCTTAGCCATAATAAAAAGCATTGGTAAACTCTTGTCAGATCTTACCCTGACCCCGTGACCTTTTCTCCTTTTCTTCTCTCTTTTCAAAAGTTCAAAGTTCAAAGCAATGCCTGTGTCTTACAGAGAGCAGCCCACTCCATACAGTAAAGAGCCAGCCCCGAGGCCAATGACTCAAGATTGTCTGTGGCTGGGAGGTCAAACCTCGGGTTGTGTGCTTGGGGAATCTCACGCAAACTGAAGCTTTCGTGGTTTCAAACCCTGGAAAACTATCCCTGAAAAAGGAATCAAAGTATGGTACATGCAGGCATGGAAATGAATTAATTAAACTTGTTATTTTGAACAATGAATATTTGCCAATACAGGGGGGACAACAAATACGCGTTGACAGCGGATATATGCTAATTCAGTGGAGGTTCCAAGTGAACAGTCCAGAGTTAAGGTTCAGTTTGTACAATTTTAAAGACACATTTGTCTTGAGAAACATTGAGTGTTCTTCTGAATTTCCAGCCAGCCAAGGAAATCTAATGAAAGCTCCCACCCCGATCTTGTCACTTGGCCATTTGTCCATATTGGGCGTTGCTTGCTATCTCCCTATTCAAACGGAGAGTCCGTGGTGGGCAGGCAGTGTGTTGATTCTTTGTTAAACAGAAAATGACAGCAGGCAAACTGAGAGGTGCCAAGTTAGCAGCTTGGAAGAGCAGAAAGCTTTGGAAAGGTTCATCTCTGAGGCCTATGTTAGCTTTAAAGGTGTGTGTGTGTGTGTGTGTGTGTGTGTGTGTGTGTGTGTGTGTGTG